TGGCATTCCTATGCTTCTCTGAGTTTTCATGAGTTTGGATAAGATGGGGGTTTTGCCAGTCATCAAACCCTTCAGTAGCTAAAGCTGTGGAGGGAGATGCAAGGTTTGGAAAGAAACAAAGCAATAAATCTGGCCTTTTGAGGGAGAATATACAAGCCACTCTCGGCTATATGTTTACCCATTTGCTTTTGTTAAATAAAAAACAGCTTTTGTGCAAAACCTGGACTGCTTTTTGTACACTTGCTTGGAATTTGAAAATGGTCCACAATGATGCAGAACTTCAGAGGGACCCCTCTCTACCCAATAGGATACTTCCTCGTGATAATTCTGACCACAAACCAGCATCTGTTACAGTAGATATATGTTTGGCATTATCTTTATCTGCATCTGGAACACCTTGGACTTGGCCTGTCTTACCAGGTGTGAACTGCAAAATCTGACTATTTACATTATTTTCTTGTGGCTCTTTAGCCTTTCCCTGTCCAGTAAGTGACTCTTGAATTAGTTTTGTATTTTCAGTTTGAGCCAGCATCATGGCTGCTTCCTTATAATCAGCTTGCTGTTCCACATCCTGCTTTGCTGTTTATCAGGGAGGTTTTTGTCTGGTTGCATGCTAGTAGTTGGCTCAGGCTGGATAGCTTCACTGCTGGCTCTTGTTGCTTCAATGAGTGGTTGATGCACGAAAGCAGTGATTGGTCTTAACTTCATTACCATAGCATTTTCGAGTCTCTGTCTCTTGCGCTTGCTAGCACCACTTTCAAATCTTTTATTCATGCTCAGATTAGAATCTAAAAATAAAAAGTAAAATTAATCTTCAGCTGGATAAACACATGGATCAGAGGTCCATCAGTGGCTATTGGCACAAGGTATAGTTGGTTTCTGTTGAAGGGTTACAGAATTAAGTTTTCCACTGTGGCGAAACAGGTGCCCACCCTCAGCCCTGGGGGACTGAGTAGCCGGTTTGTGGCTCGTGAGCCCCACTTCGCCTTTCCACCTTCTTGGTGGGCGTCTGTCACTTTTCAGTAGCTGCCACCACTCACTGACTTCCCTATGCCTTTCTTGAGGGGCAGTGAGACCCCTCTGGCTGACTCCTGGGGTTTGGAAATGAAAACCCCTAACTTTTGGTTTCTCCTGGAGGGTTGGCATCTGCACCTTTTTGGGCTTTTTCCCTCCCAGGACCCTTCTTGAGGCACTGGTAGTGGGTAGAGCGGGGGAGACTCCGTGGTCAGAGCACCAGACTGGGGTTTTAAACAAAGAACAAAGATTTTATTGACTATTTACAAGTAACAGGATTTTAAACACAAAAAGGCACTTTAAATCAAACACAGAAAGGAAAACACCACTGGGCACAAATAAAATAAGACAAAACGCAGTTCCTCTGTCCCTGAACTGATATCTATACTTATTTTCCCTCAGGATGAGGTTCAGTTACCAACCTGCAGCCTGGCCTCCTGCCTTCTACAGGTAGTTCTGGATCCATCCGAGGATCCCTTCCCACTGCTGCCTTCCCTGATCCCTAAGGCCTCTCTCTGCCAGTGGGTAATCTGCAGCAAGAGCCTCCTGGCCTCTCTGAGGGTTGCAGGAGGACTCTCACCTCCCAGGCTGGCTGGAGCATTTATATCTTCTGACTCCGCCCCCTGGCTTTCCTGCACTTTTTGGCCATAGAGGCATCTGGGATTTGTAGGCCTACCCTGGAGTTTTGCCCTACTTCCCAGGGTGGGTGGCCATTTTAACTAAACTAAACAACCTAAACTAAAGCAAACACAAGATGGAGTCTATTTTAGCACAACATCATTTCCCACTCTAAACATTTTCAAAAGTTTATAAACTCCCAAAATTGCCAAAAGGATTCAAAATAATTTTCTCCAAGACACATGCAATTAGGAGGCTTGAAAATGATGCAAAACCATAGGTTAATAATTAACTATAATTTCTCATCTAATAATTTCAGCAGCAGCAAACACCAGGCTCCCATCCAACAATCAATATGAGCCATTTAAAAGAGCCAACTGCTAAAAAATGTTATATAAAATAAATATGTAAAACTTTGATTAGCTTCTGCAATGGCTTTAGAACAATTAATCTACTATTAATGTATGAAGCAGTATTGTTGGCTTTATTGGCATGACAACTGACACTATCAATATTTCTTTTCATATCCAAGAAGTTCTGAGAAAGGGGTTGCAAGTGCATGCTGCAGGCACTGACAGGGCTCTGTGAAGTGTGAAAGATAGACTTCCCTGCCTGGGAGGGGTGAGGCCAGTGGCAGTCACATGTGCTTGCTCTGTTCAAGCCAAGGAGGAGGGAATGAATAGAAGGGACTTGGGAGAGCTTGCTTGCCTGGTCTATCTGCCCCAGCCACCCCCCCACTCTCACTTTTCCACTGATTAAAGTGCAGCATGTACCACTACTGACCTGACCCTTGAGCTGGGGAAGGCTGTGCAGCTGGTTGTTGACTCTGGGCTGCTGGCTCTGGAGTGCTGGAGTCTGTACTCTGAATAGTGGCACCAGGGACCTAGACGGGGCAGGGCTTGTCAGTCCAACCCCTGCACAGTCTCATCAGGGCTGTCCTTAAGGCAATTGGAGCAATTTGGCCAAATTGGGCCCCACAGGCCGCTCCTAAGGGGGGCCCCGCACCAGGACAATCTAGATGGATTTTATTTATATCTCTAAGATTCTGCAGACTTTGGCTGTGAACTGGGGCCCCACAAAATTTTATCCAGTTGGGCCCCAGAGTTTCCAATTTGGTCCCACTGGCTGGCCCTGAGTCTCATAGTTTCTGGGCCTGAGGTGCCCTGCCCTCGCATGAATTCTTGGGTTTGCAATTTGGGGAGAGGGGAGACTGCAGGGCTGTGGAGGCCCCCTAGATTTAGAGGCCCTAGGCTTCAGCCTACTTAGTCTATACATAAATCCGGCACTGCTTGGGCTAAATCGATGAAATGGTAAAAAAAGAGATAGAGAAAGCAGTTTTAAAAAATAAGTAGCACAAAAATAATGTTCAGTCAGGTATATAGTATTACCATATGTGTTGTCTCTCTGAAGAAGAATATTTAACACAAAATAATGTGTAAAAATGCCTCCACATAGGAATTGGTGTGAAACACAAGTGCGGATTTTTTTGTCTGTTGTCTTATGCATGGTTTATTTTTATTTTTCCTGCTAACTGCTGAATTTATTGGCCAGTTGTGCTTTCACATTTTGTGTGGCCATCATACAGGACAACATATATGTGCTTTTTGTGTTAATTCCTGAATTAAACTTTTTTCTTTGTAGGCTCAGGGAGAGTAATGGGCCCAAAGGCAGGGATCTTTTGTAGGGGTTTGAAACTGGGTCTCCCCACTTGTATTGTGTTTTCACACACACACGGGGTATAAATCCAATCTCTTCTTCTTCATGTGCATGTACACTTCTTCAGATTTGAAGAAGTGTGCATGCACATTAAAGCTTATACCTTGAATAAAATGTTGTTGGTCTGAAAGGTGCCACTGGACGCAAACTTTGTTCTGGGGTTAGGAGAGTAAGAGAGAAGGGTTAGTTCTTGATCCATGTGTACATAGGTTGCTCTGTAGTCTGGAGAAGCAAAACCATGTGTTTGGTGATAGTGAAGCCTACCCCACACACCTGAAGTTTGGGGATCTATGTTGAGTTAAAGGCATTCCCCCAGGAGCTACAGTGAATGCCTTAGGGGATTCTTCCAGTATGTTGTTGTTCAGTTGCACAATTGAGTCTGACTCTTCGCAACCCCATGGACCACAGCCAGGCCCTGCTGTCTTCCGCCATCCTCCGGAGTTCCAGTATACAACCTTTCAATATAGTCTGCTGCTTATTATAATGATGAATTATTATAAATGATTAACAGTAGTTCTTCGTTCTAGCTGTTAAACAAGTAGGAGTCTTGTCTATTTTTAATAGAATGAGATGGCTGTGTACTTCGAAATTTGAATATTTTCCCCCCAGAGTGTTCAAAATAGAGTTGAAGTACGGCATCAATCACTGTTGCATTTTTTTTTTGTTGTTGCTCTAGGGGTTGAGTGAATACAGGAGGAACTTCAAATGGAGAAAAGCAGATCAATCTGAGCTTTGTAGCCCCATGCACGAGCAAAAATGCCGATGGGCTGGACTTCGATCGGATCAGTTTGGTAAGCTCTTATTTTCAGGCTCTGCCGCACTTCAGAGAGTAGTTTCTGCTTTTGTGTTAATAATATAGTGTTAAGCAATGTAAGTTGTATCATCAAATAAATTTTAAATTGTATCATCAA